GGTCTTTGGATTGGGCTTAGGCAGGGTGGTTTCACTTGCATGGAAAGTTATGGGAAAGGTTTGGAGGTGAGGGCTCAGCAGAGGTTATTAAAGTTTCCAGAACAAATAATAAGACAGAGAATAAAGAAGATGTCAGGAACTTAACTTCAGACACAGCAGATGAAGGGACAACTATGAGTAGGGGGAGTAGTCAATACTGGACTGAGGGTATTGTGCTTAAATGCACACAGTATACGAAACAAGGTAAATGAGCATGAGCAGGAGGAAATTGGCAGGTACGATATTGTGGGTATCACAGAGACATGGCTGCAGGGGGATCAGAGCTGAGAACTGAATATCCAAGGATGCACCTCTTACCGAAAAGACCGGCAGATAAACAGAGGGGACAGGGTTACCTTGTTAGTAAAAAATTAAGTTAAATTGATAGCAAGAAATGAAATAGAGTAGGAAGGTGTAGAATCTGTGTGGGTAGACTTGAGGAACTGCAAAGGGAAAAAAAAATACCGTGATAGGTGTTGTGTACAGGCCTCCTAGCAGTAGTTGAGATGTAGGGAAGGAAGTAGCAAAGGTATGTACGAAAGACACTATTACAATAATCAATGTGCAAGTGGACTGGGAAAATCAGACTGTTAGTGAATCTCAAGAAAAGGAATTTGTGGAATTTTAAAATAGTTTTTGGAGAAGCTTGTGCTAAAGAGTAGAGCCCACTAGGGATCAATTCTGGATTTGGTGATGTGTTATGCAGCTGACTTGATTAGAGAGCTTAAGGTGAAGGAAACCCTAGGAGCAGTGACCATAATATGATAGATATTAATCTGCGGTTTGAGAGGGAGAATCTGGAATCAGATGTAACGGTATTACCATTGAGTAAAGGTAAATACAAAGACTCGAGGGAGGAGCTGGTCAGAGTTGATTGGAGGCGGGGGGGTCAGAAGAGAAGACGGTGATGCAGCAGCAGCCAGAGTTTCCGGGGTTAATTTTGGAGATACAACAGAAATTCACCCTAAAAGAAAAGAAGAAGCCTGCTAAGGGGCGACAAGGTAGCCATGACTGACAAGGGAAGTCAGGGACAGCATAAAAGCAAAAGTAAAAATAATGTGGTGATAATTAGTGTGAAGTCTTTAAAAAACCAGCAGAGGGCAACTTTAAAAAAAAAGCAATACGTGGGGAGAAGATGAAATATGAGAGTAAGCTAGCTAGTAATATAAAAGAAGATTGCAAGAGTTTTCTTTTAGATATCTGTAAGGTAAGAGGGAAAGAGTGAAATTAATTGATATCAAGAAGAGATGTAAATTGCTGCTGAGAATTTTATTTAAACAAGAAACCAGAAGAACATGGGCAACTTGGGACATACGTGAACACCACCACGCACAAGTAGCTCTTGAAACCACCAGAACTTGGAGATAATTGTGCCTTACATACCTGCAGTCCTCATTTTTCTGAGTTGTGAGAAGTTGGATTTACAGAATGTTGAATAAGTTGTTGTGGTGCTTCCAATAGTTTGCGCACACTATTGTAAAGTGTTCCTCCGCCTTTCAGAGTTAACATTTTTTTTTCATCAAACCATTGCTTTATCATTCATGCCCGATATCAAATTGCCATTTATTACAGCAGAGCAAGAACTATTCCTGTTTCAAACATGATTGAGTTTTTTGAAGTGGTGCCAAAGAAGATTGATGAAGGCAGGATGGTAGACATTGTCTTTATGAACTTCAGAAAAGATTTTGACAAGGTTCCACATCATAAATTTAGATCATATGGGATCCAGGAGGAGCTAGCCAATTGAATACAAAATTGGCTTGAAGGTAGGAGGCAGAGGGTGGTGGCAGAGAGTTGCATTTCAGACTGGAGGATTGTGACCAGGGGTTCATCGCTTTTTGACAATTTTTAAAGTGATTTGGATGTGAATAAAAGAGGCATGGTTAGTAGAGATGACGCCAAAATAGGTGGTGTAGTGGACAGTGAAGAAGATTATTTAAGTGTACAAAGGGACCTTGATCAGATGAGCCAATGAGCTGAGGAGAGGCAGAAAGATTTTAATTTAGATAAATGTGAGGTGTTGCATTTTGTTTGGGCAAACCATAGCAGGACTTATATCAATAATGGTAGGGCCCTGGGAAGTGTTGCTGAACAAACAGACCTAGGGGTGGAGGTGCATATTTACTTGATAGTGGAGTCACAGGTAGACAGGGTGTGAAAAAGGCATTTGGCACAATTACTTTCATTGGTCAGAACACTGAGTACAGGAGTTGGGATGTCAAGTTATGGCTGTACGGACATTGGTGAGGCCACTTTTAGAATACTGCATACAATTCTGGTTGCCCTTCTATAGGAGGGATGTTTTTAAACTAGAGAGGGTGCAGAAAAGATTTACAAAGATGTTTCTAGTACTTGAGAGTTTGTGTTATAGGGAGAGGCTGAATAGACTGGGGCTTTTTTCCCTGGAACATTGGAGTCTGAGGGGTGACTTTACAGAGTTTTTTAAAATCATGAGGAGCACAGATACAGTGAATAGCCAATATCTTTTTACTAGAATGGGAGTATGTAAAACTATGTTTAATGTGAGAGAGGAAAGATTTAAAAAGGACATGAGGGGTAATTTCTTCGTGAAGAGAGTAGTGCATGTATAGAATGCAAGGGGAAGTAGTGGAGTGGGTACAATAATGACATTTAAAAGGCACCTTGTATGGGTATACAAATAGGAATTCCAAGGTGAGGTGACAGAGACAGCCCTTGCTATCAAGGCTGCATTCAACCAAGTGTGGCATCAAGGAGCCCTAACAAAACAGGGGATCGGGGGCAAACTCTTTGATGGTTGGAGTCATACCTAACACATGGGAAGATGGTTGTGGTTGTTGGAGGTCAGTCATCTCAGCTCCAGGACATCTCTGCAGGAGTTCCTCAGGGTAGTGTCCTAGGCCTAACCATCTTCAGCTGCTTCATCAATGACCTTCCTTCCATCATAAGGTCAGACGTGGTGATGTGCAATCATCGGCAAACAATGTTCAGCACCATTCACAATTCCTCAGATACTGAAGCAGTCCATGTTCAAATGCAACCAGATCTGGACAATATCCAGGTTTGTGCTGACAAGTGACATTCATGCCACACAAATACCATCACCAATAAGAGACAGTCCAACCACCACCCCTTGATATTCAGTGGTGTTACCACCACAGAATCCTCCACTGTCAACATCCTGTGGGTTATCATTGACCAGAAACTCAACTGGACTCACCACATAAACACAGTGGTTACAAGAGCAGCTCAGAAGCTAGAAATACTATGGCGACTAACTCATCTCCCGACTCTTCAAAACCTGTCCACCATGTACGAGACACAAGTCAGGAGTGTGATGGAATACCCCCCACCTGCTTGGATGAGTGCAGCCCCAACAACACTCAAGAAGCTTGACACCATCCAGGACAAGCAGCCCATTTGGTTGCACTACATCCACAAGCATCCGCTCCCTCCTCCACTGACGTTCAGTAGCAGCACTGCGTACTATCTACAAGATGCACTGCAGAAATTCACCAAAGATCCTTAGGCAGCACCTTCCAAACCCACGACCACTTCCATCGAGAAGGACAAGGGCAGCAGACATATGGGAACACCACCACCTTCAAATTCTCCTCCAAGCCATTCACCATCCTGACTTGGAAATATATCGCTGTTCCTTCACTGTCGCTGGGTTGAAATCCTGGAATTCCCTCCCTGATGGCATTGTGGGTCAACCACAGCAGGTGGACTGCAGCAGTTCAAGAAGGCAGCTGGCCAGCCAGCGATGCCCACATCCCACAAATGATTTTTTTTTTAAAAAAAAGGAAGGCTTTAGAGGCATATCAGCCAAATCCTGGCAACTGGGACTAGGTCAGATTGGGATGTCTGGTCAGCAGTTGGACCGAAGAGTCTGTTTCTGTGCTGTACGACTCTATGACTCTAGTGGACATTGGACCAGTGGAAAATGAGGCTATAGAAGTAGCCATGATGTGGAGATGCCAGTGTTGGACTGGGGTGGCCAAAGTCGGAAGTCACACGACACCAGGTTATAGTCCAACAGGTTTATTTGAAATCACAAACTTTCGGAGCAGTATCCCTTCGTCAGATGAAGAGACAGCATTCCGAAAGCTTGTAATTTCAAATAAACCTGTTGAACTATAATCTGGTGATCACAACGGTTCAGACAGCATTCATGGAGAGAGAGCAAGATAATGTTTTGAGTCTAGATGATTTCATCAGAGCTGAAGTGAAGCTCTGAAGTCTTAGCTTGCTGTCTGACCAACTGTGATTTCCAGCATTTGTTGTTTTCAGTAAACATTCCAGCATCTGCAGTAATTTGCTCCTACAGACTATAACCTGGTGTTGTGTGACTTCTGGCTATAGAAGTAGTAATGGGGAACAAAGAAATGGCAAAGGAACTGAATAGGTTCTTTGTATTAATTTTTACATAGAAGACACCAGAACATTAAAAGAGTCAGGGCTCAGATGTATGTGTAGTGGCCATCACTAAGGAGAAGGTGCTGCAGAATCTGAAAGGTCTGAAGATGGATAAATCACCCAGACCAGGGGTATTGCACCCCAGCGCTCAGAAGGAGACAGCTGAAGAGATTGTAGAGGCATTGGTGGTGATCTTTTTGGAATCACTGGAGTTAGGGAATGTCCCATGGAAAATGGGTAATGTAACACCAATGTTCAAAAAGGGGGGAACAGAAGAACAGAAACTATAGGTCAGTTGGCCTGACCTCAGTGATTGGTAAGATTTTAGAGTCTGTTATTAATGATGAGATTGCAGAGTACTTGGATGTGCAGGGTAATGTAGGGCTGAGTCAGCATGGCTTTGTCAAGGGAAGGTTTTGTCTGACAAATTTGTTAGAATTGTTTGAGGAGGTAATGAACAAGTTAAACAAAAGAGAACCAGTGGATATGATTTATTTGGATTTGATAAGGTGCCACATAGGAAGCTGCTAAATAAAAAAAAGTCCATGATTTTAGGGGCAAGGTGCCAGCATGGATAGAGGATTGGCTGACTGACAGAAGGCAGATAGTGGGGGGAAAACATGATCTTTCTCAGAGATGGTAGCCATTGACTAGTGGAGTTCCACAAGTGTCAGTTATTGTGACCATAACTATTCGTGTTATACATTAACAGTCTTGACAAATGATCTGAGGCATCACCGAAAGTAATTGGCCAAGGATACCACATCTCTCACTGCAGTCACGGCGGAGTTCAGCTGATTGGGCTGGGAACCAGGAAGGGAACTGAGGACAACCTGGTCTGCATCATTCGGCTACTCGACAAGTGTTCCCAACTGGCGCTCAGCTTTGGTTGTCTTCAGGTAAAAAAATAGATGCCGCATTAAACTGTCAAGAAGTCTAGTTCCAATTCACACTTGTGCATTAAATATGGGTGGTTGATCAAAAATTACACATTATAAAAAGGCGAATTATTGGTTTATTTGTAAATAATGCTCTTAAATCACTGCAATCTTGCGCACATTAGTTTCTGGCTTGTTAATTTTTCATAGATGTTCTTCAGAGGGCAAATGTGTCATCTCTGCTTGCATTATATAATTTAATATCCGGTTTCAGTTGGAGCTGACAGACCATCGCTGTTCTATGTAATGTCTCAACCCATTTACAAGCGGAGCCACTGACGTCAGCCAATTCTCCTGTATTTTATATAAACACTGTGGGATCTCCTGGAGTTAAAGTGCCAGCAAACAGCCGCTGCCAATGATCCATTCTGTCCAGCTGAAGACACCTTTACCGTTCCCTCTCTCCAGGTAAGTGAGAAAGCATCTACTCTTCTTGTTTTCTTCTTGCCTCAACAACTACAACAAGATTGGTGTCAGAGTTTCACCAGCTTTGAGATTATTATTCAACATGCCTTTTAGGAAGGAGGGGTAAATGTTATTTTAACTTAATTGGTAATCACTTTAAATTTCTGTTCTTTTACATATGAGTAGTGTATTTACTCTTATTAAGCCAGAGTTTAATTTTACTGTGACTATGCTGAAATTAGTCAGCAACCAGTGACAGGTGTCTGAACAACTCCCTGGGCATGTTGCACAATCCTGCAATTAGTACTTGTTATCCTGTAAACTGAATGTTAGTCTTACACCCTGTAACTTTTCGTGAAAAGGTCCATTAGCAAGAATTCCAGCGTTTTTTTTCTTTCATTTCTGATCTCCAGTGTCTGCAACATTTTGCCTTTACTAAGGTAAACTCGCAACATATTTCTTGATCTTGACAACCTGTCCAGTTTCTTCATTGAAAGGCAGCAACCCCTGAATACGTTTGCACTATTAGCAGAATGATGGCAAAATTCCCAATCCCATCTTCAGATCCCTATTCGCACTGGCAGATACCAACTCAGTGGGCACAGCAAATTGTGTATCATTTCATGTTTGAAGCTTTGTCTTGACTGACTTGGTAGACAACTTGCTTTCAAATCTAGTTTTAATGGACTTTGTTGATAAATCGACAAAGGTTTGCTCGTCAAGTACATCGTCATTCAAAGCAATATACATTAGTAATTATTCCACAAGTTGAGTGATAAAGGAAGTCGAATTATATCCAGACTGCTGTGAGAGAGAGCTTCAGTACACCTGGTGATCTCATTCCAAAGTACCGTATGACGATGGAGCTGTTTTGTAAAATATTTTAATCTAAAAGAGTGATAAACTTTGTAACCATATTATATGGCAAAGTTAAAGTACAGGAGAGTGCTGCCTATTCCAGAGAGAGAAAATGGTGGATGCTGGTACGGTTACAATGTTAAAAAGACATTTGAATAAGTTCATGAATAGGAAAGATTTGGAGGGATATAAGCCAAGCACGGGGAGGTAGGACTAGTTTAGTCTGCAACATGGTTGGCATGGATTGGTTGCACCGACGAATCTGTTTCCATGCTGTATGATTCTATGACTGGGTTGAAATTGGATTGAGCATTGTTTGTAATTTTCTATGAATCTGTGAGTTCCCAGAGCTGGCAAACTTTTCAGATTGTGGAAAATTATGCTCCCGAATGGTCCATTAAATCTGTGCCAACTCTTTCAAAAAGCAAGCTAGTTAATTCCACTCCTACTTTCCCCACATCCCTGCATTCTTTCCTCCTTCTAATTCCCCTTTGAAAGCTATTATTGAATCTGTCTATTCGTTTTATCTGGCAATGCAGTGCATTCCAAATTCCATCCATTAGTTCTTGCAAAGTGTGTTTCCTCATGGTGCCTCTGGTTCTTTTGCTAATCATCTTCAACCTGTGCCCTCTGGATTTCAACATTTCAAGATGTAGTTTTTCCTCATTTTACTTGAACCCTTCATCCTAGATCTAGGTAATTGGATAACAGCAGCAACTCACTTTACTTTAAATATGTTTTCTTTTTAATTCCCTCATTGTCCCAAAGTTATTATAATACTTGTGTTTTCTAATCAAGTACCTTTAAGGGCATATTTTACAATGATGAAGCAAAACTGCAACGAGCATGATATATAATTACATGAGTAGTATATTTTTAAAAGTTGAATCTGGTTTCTAGACTGACTAAATCTCTTAGTTATAGAATCATAGAGTCACATGGCAGAGAAACAGACCTTTCAACTTGTCGCAATTGACTGTATTGGGCCCATATTCCTCTAAACGCTTCCTTTTCATGTACCTGTCCAAATGGCTTTTAAATGTTGTATTTGTACCCATCTGTACGAATTCCTCTGGCAGCTCATTGTGTACACGCAGCACCGTCTCTGTGAACAGGTTGCCCCTCAGGTCCCTTTTAAATCTTTCCCCTCTCACTTTAAACTTACGCACTGTAACATTGGATTCTGCTACCCTTGGAACTTGTATAGTTAGCTACACTGTAATGCATTCCTTGGAATAAATATTCAAGACACTTTATTGCATGTTAACTATTCATATTATTAAAGATGTATTTTATTTCCTTTTAGCGTGTGGAAACTTTATTATTTATTATTATAGCGAAGAAAGCATTTGGTATGCTTGTCTTTATTGAGTTAAGGAGTTGGGAAGTCATATTGTGGCTATACATGACATTGGTTTGGGGTCACTTCTGGAATACTGTGTTTAATTCTGGTCTCCCTGCAATAGGAAGGATATTGTGTAACTTGAAAGGGTTCAGAAAAGATTTACAAGGATGTTGCTGGGGTTGAAGGGTTTGAGCTATTTGGAGAGGCTGAATAGATTGGGGCTATTTTCCCTGGAGTGTTGGAGGCTGAGGGATGACCTTACAGAGGTTTATAAAATCATGAGAGGCATGGATAGAGTAAATAGGCAAGGTCTTTTCCCTGGTGTAGGGGAGTCCAAAACGAGAGGGCACAGGTTTAAGGTGAGAGAGGAAAGATTTAAAAGGGACCTAAGGGGCAACTTTTTCATGTAGAGGGTGGTGCAGGTATGAAATGAGCTGCCAGAGGAAGTAGTGGAGCCTGGTACGACATTTAAAAGGCAACTGGATGGGTATATGGGAGGGTTTGGAAGAATATGGGCCAAACGCTGGCAAATGGGACTAGATGTATATAGGATACCTGGTTGGCATTGACGAGTTGGACTGAAGGGTGTGTTCCTGCGCAGTATATCTCTATGACTCTGTTATGTTTTCATAGTTTAGCACCTTGTAAAATTTTTATAGAATTGGGTGAATTCAAATAACCAAACAAAGTTATATGGAATAATGGAAAATTAAGACAATTAAAGAGGCTGATTTTAATGGGCCAAGAAGCTCATTACAATCAATGACATTCCTTGTGTTTTTCTGAAATCTTTCAGCAAACGATACTAATTTTCTTAAAGCTAGAAGTAGTTGAAAATGCATTCATTGGAATAGGAGTAACAAGCTAAACTAAATGATAAAGATATTAGTAAAATTATGTAATTGTACTTTTATTCATATTTCAAAGAAAAAAAAACTACCATTCTTAATGTAGGCTATTATATCACGGTTAACAGAGAAATGAGTGTTTGGACTGATTGTTGCAAATACCTAAGCATATTTTTAGCTTGCAGTTCTTCATCATTCACTATCAGGAATGAAAGAGTCATAATTGTCTGGTTTAGATTCACTAACTTATTATGGTACTCTGTTCCCATTTTAAAGAAAATAAGACATATTTTACTTTTCTATACCTATACCTTTTTGGCATTGACTAAATAAAGTAGGAGCTCGCACTTACTCAGCAATTCACTAGAATTACTTTTCTTTTTATGAGCTCTGGTGTCCGAGAACAAAGAAGAAAGATTGAAATACTTTTATTATGATAACAAAATTGATATCTTAGATGATGAGACAATGTGCCATATCTTCATAAGAATAATAATGATTTTATTATAAATACATGTTGTTAGCAAATGATAAGCGATTAGACACCAATTCACATAAATCAATGGTGATATACTGCAACGTTACAGTTAAACTGCTGATTTACATTACTGCAATGTGCTTTTCATGTTAAATTCATGTAAGATGGACAGCTGAGCTGTCATAAACCTCCATCAATTTACATGTTTTTCTACTGGTATGAAAACAGAGTTGTATCCCATTATACTGTGGTATAACTAAAATCAGCAAGACATCAAATTTTGAAAATTTAATGCTAATTGATTCAAACTAAGCAACAAAGACTTTGTGCAAAAATGATGCAGAACATTGTGAGAAGAAGGTCGGCAGCAAGAGTCCCAATTGTTAAAGGAGTGTCCCTTGAAAATTTTTTTGGTGGTACAGTGGTTAGCACTGCTGCCTCACAGTTCGATTCCACCCTTGGGTGACTGTCTGTGTGGAGTTTGCACATTCTCCCCGTGTCTGCATGGGTTTCCTCCAGGTGCACTGGTTTCCTCCCACAGTCCAAAGATGTGCAGGCTAGGTGGATTGGCAGTGCTAACTTACCCCATAGTGTATAGAGGAATGGGGATAGGTCTGGGTGGGATGCCCTGAGGGTCAGTGTGGACATGTTAGGGGGAAGGGCCTGTTTCCACACTGTAGGGATTCTACGATTCTGAGAGTGTGAACCTGAACAGCTTCTGGGAACTGTTGTTGGTGAGTAACAGATAAGCTTTGAGAAATTGTTATTTGAGCAGAGAGCAGCAGCAACTTCAAGGATTGTAAGGATTAATTAAGTTAAAGAGGTGAGATATTGCAGGGGAGCTCCAAATCGTTGTCTGCTCCTCTAGCTCAATGTGGGAAGCCGGGTACTTTTCTAGTGCCAGGGACCTACCTATGTGCAAAAAGTATCTCCAGTGCAGTTCCTGGAAGCCTGAGTTTTGGAGTTGGAGCAGTGTCTGGGGACACCTGTGGAGCATTTGTGAGGCGGCAAATATCATGGATAGCACTACAGAGAGGTGGTCACGCCGCAGGCAGGAAGGGAATGGGTGACCACCAGGCAGAGCAGGAGGGCTAGACAGGCAGTGCTGGAATCTGCTGTGGCCATTCCCCTACAAAACAGATATTCCGTTTTGGATACTATTGAGAGGAATGGACTCTCAAAGGAGAACAGCAGCAACAAAATTCATGGCACTATGGTTGGCTCTGCTGCAGAGGGAGGGAGAAATAGGCACTGAAATGCTATAGTTATAGGGAATTTAATTGTAAGGGGAATAAATAGGCATTTCTGTGGCTGCAAATCAGAGTCCAGGATGGTGTGCTGCCTTCTTGGAGCCAAGGTCCTGGATGTCTCAGGGCAGTTGCAGAATATTCTGGAGGGGGAGGGCGAGGGGGAGGGCGAACAACCAGTGGTCGTGGTAAACGTTGGTACAAACAAATAGGTTAAAAAAAGGGGA